TTTTTTTATAATATTTGTTTTATATTATTTTTTTTATAATATTTTTTTTATATTTTTTTTTTACATTTTTTTTTTACATTATTTTTTTACATTATTTTTTTAAAATTATTTTTTTTACATTATTTTTTTTATATTATTTTTTTAACATTATTTTTTTTTAACATTATTTTTTTTTAACATTATTTTTTTTATATTATTTTTTTATATTATTTTTTTTTTATTATTTTTTTAAATTATTTTTTTTATATTATTTTTTTTATATTGTTTTAGTTTATTTTGTTTTACATTATTTTGTTTTTTTATATTATTTTAGTTTATTTCGTTTTATATTATTCTGTTTTTAAATATTATTTTTTTATATTATTTTATTTTGTTTCATATTATTTTGTTTTTTTATACTATTTTTTTACTATTATTATTATTATTTTCTATTATTTATTTTTTTTGTTGTTATCAACCATGTGAAAAAATAAATAAATTTTTATTTATTTTATTTTAATTTAATTTATTTTCTTTTATTCTCTTTCATTTAATTAAATAAATTATTTATTTATTTATTATTTATTAATATTTAATATTAAATATTAATAAATAATTAATATTTAATTTTTTTTATTTACATTTCAATTTTTTTAATTTATTTTAATTTAAATTTGTTTTAAAATTAATTTGTCTTTGATGCAATTTGTTATTAAATTGTGTTTAGTTCAAAAATAAGTATTCAAGATGATCTGATGACATATTCTTTGGAATTTTTGAAGTTGAAAAAAGTTCTACTCTAAAAGTTTGAGAAATTCAAAAATTCTTTTTGTTTAAGAAATAAAAAAAATTAAAAAAAACATAAAATCTTACAAATTCACAAATATTCTAAAAAATTGCAATCATGTACATAAATTTTGAACTATTTTGTTTTTTATATTTGAAAATGGAATTCACTTTTAGCCATAAATTATATTGAAATCGTCTGTGATGCACAATTTAAATAAAATGAAAGAGCTTCACAGCAGCAATGCAACACCTCCGCAAAAATGCAAATTGTTAGAGGCAAAGATAGTTCTCAAACGTGTTCAAAGATATTTACATCAAAGTTTAAAAAACTATTTTTTTTCCTTGTACTGAAATGCATAGAATAATATGCATCAATTATAATAAAAATAAAATAAAAAATTTTAAAGAAGAAAAATAAATTGAACGTCAATTCGAATTCCACGACTTTCATCCCAATACAAAAAACTAGAAAAAATCAAAGATAATACCAATTTGGTGTGCAAGTATTTAGCTCGATAATACGCAGATTGCATATATTTCAATAAATAATGAATCAGGAATTCAATACGAAAATAAAAACTATGCAAATAAATTCATATTCACCATAAATCTTATATAGGAGATACCTTAACAGTCATTAAGTCATATTAATATTTAAATGGAGCCATTAAAATAATGGCAAGGGCATATAGATTTCTGAATATATTTAGAACCATATAATGTGTTTTATAGTGTGTTTTAAAATTGCAGCAACTAAATCATTTAATATAAATGAAATAAGTATAAATATATAAAATCAATTGTTTGAGATAACACAAACTATAATTTTCGGTTACTAAAGCTGTATAATATTAATTTTCTTTGAAATGTGTAATTAAATATGTGGATGTAAAAGATATGCAATTGTAACAGTACGAGTCCACAAGCAACGCCAAAAGTTCTCTATTGACCATGCATTTCGTCACTACTAGTCGATTTTTTAGGATTGTATAGACGGTAGTCAAACTCACGACGGTTTGTAAACGAATACCCGCCATGCTATGATGAAGCTATTGCCAGCTATGCATTATCAAAAAATTCCCTTAGGGGTTTCATTATTGTAAGATGTGCCGTAAGGAATATATCAATAGTATTGTATACTAAATCTTCTTGACCTATTTAAGACTAAACATATCAAAAGAAAAAGTTTTTCTAATATCAGCCACACAAGATTCAAATACGAGGGTTTATAATGAAAAAATGCTAACTTGCCGTTGAAAATTGCTTTATGGTTTCTCGAAATATTTTCCTTTATGATAAATACACTTTTGATGCCTTCGAATTATTTGTCAAGGCATTATTTTCAATCTTTTTCAGACACTTCCAAAAAAATGGTTTTTAAACCATACAACAACGACTTCTTCCTCGACACAAATCGTTTTCCACACAATTTAGTCGTATTCTTGACTTGTTCTTGAAGAGAGGTCATTCTTCAATTGATGGGATGACTCACCGATTGACCCACCGATTTTTTGAATGTTCAAATAGTCGGTTGTTAGACGTGATGTGTGAGTACTCGCATTGTCTTGATGGAGATAGAGAATGGTTCGACGGCGCTTGTTTGTTTTCCGTATTACACTCAAAACTTTACGAGCATCTTTTTAAGATTTTGTTAAATTGTTGGATGATGGGGGATCCAACGAGAACAATCCGTTCACACGGCTAAATGATCGTGAAATATTTTATATATGCACAACAACTGATTTTGGACAAACTTCACGTATTTCATCACTGAGCGCACTGCGGCCACGATTAAAATCGTTGTACCAGCGTTTCACAATGACAAAGGATGGTCATTTGGCTTTATCCCCAAATGTAGAAGTATCGCCAAATGTAGACATAAACTGTATTAAATTATTTACAACAGTAGTTTTATAATTTAAACATTTTTTTATTAATTGAACAACTTACTTTCAAAAATAAAGATAAAGGACAGTGATGCCTGAAAAATCTATGAATTGGACGTCTATCTTATTTGCTTATGTCTTGCCATTGCCAGACGAGATCAGTAACCCGTACAAATTTTATTATACTGATAAGACTTATGGTCTTTAGCTAAGATATATTATTAGGTTTATCAAAAGGCTCAAATTATCTCCCCATCATATTATAGAAGCAAAATAGCTATCATAGATTGCACTCTATTATTGTATATTTCAACAATTCATAACTGACCTAATTTCTTGATTTTGTCGATATTAATTTTTTAGGATTTGAAATACTACTATTCATTTTTGCAACCTTTTTTATACTATGATTTCGAAATTTATATATAATCTGTTAAATTGAATTTAATTTTTAATTGTAGCTGGAACTTGTTGGGAGACTTCATTTAAACATTTTAAATGTGATAAAATTTTCGCTATGAACATTAGCAAAGCCGAGTGTTGTGGTTATAGTCAGGAATTTTCGTATACCGATCGCGAACTCACTGGTGTGGAATTTTTCTTTGCAACCACAATTGGTGAAGGAGCTGAATGTGCACCTTGCATGGGTGAGTAGAGAAACTAAACAAAATTAATATGAAATATGAAAAATATGAAAAATAAATTCTTGTCACGCATATAAAATTTTAGAGACCTGCAAGGCCATAAAATGTGGAGAAAATAAGAAATGCGTCAAACGCAAAGGCCGTCCAAAATGTATTTGTGCACCCGAGTGTGGTCAATCGGCTTGCCGTAGAAATCGATTCAGAGCACAACGAAAGCACAATATTTATAATGAACCTTTCCACATTGGCTACGATAAGCGAAGAATCTCAGCCGTAACGCATGTCGAACTCAATAAATCGCCACGTGATATACGTAGTCTAAGTAGTGAAAATATGAATATCAATTTAGGATTAGATGATGTTTTGCACCAAAATCACAACCAAAGAAAAATACATATTATGCAAAGTCAACCCAGCCAACAGAAGCCACAATATAAACAGAAAGAATCTGTTCATGGAAGAATATTGATAACAGCAAATACAGAACCACAACAAGTCCATCAGGAGCAACATGAGCAGCCAGGACCTCGCAGATTACAGATACTAAGTAATGTAGGAATATATGAAGATGAAGAACAGAAGGTCAGAAGGCGTAATAAGAACGACTACTACAGAAATAGGCATGATAATAATGAATCAAAAACCAAAATAAAATATAAACAAGATCATAACAACCATCACAGACGCAATAAAAATACGCGTGTTAGACATATTCAAGAAAATTCCGATAATGTTAATCTACCAAATCACAATAATGAAAAATTAGACAAATATCATCAACAATATCAACATAAACATCAACATCAACAACATCAACAGCAGCAACAACAACAACAACAACACAATCGCAAAAAGCATAAGAAGCTCAGGGATCATTTAAATCCAACATATACGTCAACCCCGTTATTATCTTCAACATCAAATGATGAACTAACAACATCAGCTGCCACATCAACCGTCTCTAATGCAACAGCAACAACAGCAACAACAACAACGAAAACCACTCCCGTCTATGCCTTGTCTTCGCCGTGGTTGCCGTCTGCTGCTGCTGCTGCTGCTGCTGGTACTGTAAATCATCAGCGTTTATTGAACCGCGGAAGTAACTCAGCAACATCACTGTCAGTTCAGGTAAGCCTATGTAAGCAACATTGCCACCGCTTATATCATTGATATTCATTATCAACTTCATTAACCACTTCATTTATGCGCGAAGGTGTTATTCTAAATAATGCAGGCGGTAGCAGATCGTTTTGCACCAATGATTTTGCATTTTTTCTAAGATTAAAATTATGATAAATTTGATTTGCATAAAATGTTTTCAGAGAACATCTTAGAATTCTGAAAATTTTACTGTATGCTTAAGATTAGCCCTAAGGAAAGATATACGAGTTAGTAGTTACCAACAAGTGTGTAGTAAACTATTATTACCTACATACCAAAAATTATGTAAATTTAAAAGGAGTATTGCATACACTCTACATCTTTTGGCTGAGATTGTATAAATTGGCATTTAGCTTTACCAGATGGGAAATTATAATGCCCTATATTTATGTAAAGTTAATGTAATACTATAGGTCAACATTCTACTAATGATAACTGAAATCTGCTCTTTGAGAGTATCGACAAAATCAGTATTGGTTATGTGTATTATTACTTTGAAAGCATATATATTATTATTATTTACATACTCCTTTTTAGAAGATTACAGAAATTACTAATGCAATTTATATATTGCTTGCTTTTTAAAAATATATAAGCTATAAGCTGTTGCTTGCTTTTATGTGCAGTTCTTTAAAGTATGTCCCAGTAAAAACTATCCACCTTCAAGTTGCTTGAGGTCTTCTACATCATCTTACACTTTGTAAGTTCCAAGTCAGTGCTATGTACGGAATAGGTCTAACGTTGGGTATGACCGATGCAAACGTACTACCATTTTTTACTTCAATAACAATATTCTGTTGGGGGGTTAGTAATTCACAATAGTTCTAACGCAGGACATGCGTTAGAACTATTCAAGACCTTCAAGACCTTTAAAACCCTTTTATTACCTTTTTAATATTAATTTAAAGATAAATTGAATATTTTTTGGATATATAAGTAACCTGTATTATACTTAGATAAATCCTTACGATATAAGGATAACCAGCAGTAACTTTAAACTCTCCAAGCATTTCATTCTTTTGCTAATGTGCTTACAATATGGGTAATGCATACGTAGGCTGCCTGTTAAGTCTTGCGCTTAGGCAACACTAAATATTTTCTGATAAATTTTGATATTTCTTTTCGAGAGTTTGACTTTTTCTTGCATAAATATCATTATAACGTTTAAGTTAAGTTCGCTTATTGTATTGCTTACAACTATTCTAAATTGAATCTCTGCGAAAAATTAAATTAATTAATTAAACAATGAAACTTTTTGTGCGATAAATTTATACGATTTTCGACATGGATTAATCAGTCCAAATGCATTATCGTCTATCAAAACAATGCGAGCTCTCACACATCAACTCAAACAAAATAATTTTTGAGCACTCAAAACGTTGAATTGTTGGGTCATCCACCTTATAGTTCCGACTTGGCCCCCAATGTATTCTTCCTGTTCCCGAAAAATAAGAAAAAATGCGTGGCAAGCGTTTTTTACACCCGAACAAACCGTTGAGACATACAAAACCCTGGTTTTGGAGATACCTACTTCAGATTGGTAACACTATTTCGAAAAATGGTTTAATCGAATGCAAAAATGTATTAATCATCATGGAGAACAATTCGAAAATGAATAAAACCATTTCCACTAATTAAACACTGTGTTCTCATTGTAAGGCGCAAGACTTAAAAGACAGCCCTCGTATAATGCAATGTTCCGAAAAGAAGTTAAGGTTTGTAACGATGAAATAATATATGGTAATTTGATTTGAAATTATAATTTGTTGGAACTACAGTGCTTCAATTTAAGGCACAGTTATTAATTATTTAAGTATCATTTCAATGTAAAAAGTAATTACTATAAAAGCGAACCCTATATAATACAATATATATATACAATAATTTATTTTATCTGAATCCGAAAATTTTGTGATCCTATATCCAACCACACTTTTAACTACGAGTACGTTTTGAACTGAGGCATAAAGTAGAAAATTATATTGTGCTCGAGGTAGAAGCAAAACGAATATCAAACAAAGCCTAACGCATAATTAAACTATAGTTGTTGGTTACAGTAATTGATCACTCCCATTTTAGTTAAATTTTAATGGAACATAATACCCAACAACTGGAATCGATATATTGTTAGTGTAGTTTCTTTGTGTGATAAGTATCAAGCGGTTCAATTATTTTGATAACCTTCAAATAGGTCAATTATCTTCAAGGAGATCTATTAACTTTATGTAGCTTATCTTTCAGAAGTTTATCTTCGAGCAGCTCATCTCTGAGTAACTCGATTGTTTTCAAATTCAAATGTTTGAATTCAAGTACAGCCGTGCATTAATTTTCGAACTACTTAAGCAGTTTAATTTTCGAACTGCTCAAACTGTTTAATTTTCGAATTGCTCAAACTGTTTAATTTTTGAACTGCTCAAGCAGTTTAATTTTCGAACTGCTTAAGCAGTTTAATTTTCGAACTGCTTAAGCAGTTTAATTTTCAAACTGCTTAAGCAGTTTAATTTTCGAACTGCTTAAGCAGTTTAATTTTCGAACTGCTTAAGCAGTTTAATTTTCGAACTGCTTAAGCAGTTTAATTTTCGAACTGCTTAAGCAGTTTAATTTTCGAACTGCTTAAGCAGTTTAATTTTCGAACTGCTTAAGCAGTTTAATTTTCGAACTGCTTAAGCAGTTTAATTTTCGAACTGCTTAAGCATTTTAATTTTCGAACTGCTCAAGCAGTTTAATTTTCGAACTGCTCAAACAGTTTAATTTTCGAACTGCTTAAGCAGTTTAATTTTCGGACTACTCAAACAGTTTAATTTTCGAACTGTTCAAGCAGTTAAATTTTCGAACTGCTTAAGCAGTTTCATTTTCGAACTGCTCAAACAGTTTCATTTTCGAACAGTTTAATTTTCGAACTGCTCAAGCATTTAAATTTTCGAAGTGCTCATGCATTTAATTTTCGAACAGCTTAAGCAGTTTAATGCTCGAACACTTTGAATCATTACGTTCTAGTAATTAAGACTATTTATTTCTTTATTACTGATATGCTAATTTCTGCATTAAAATCTATCATTAGAGAATATTTTTAAATTTTTATATAATAATAAAAAAAAATTGATTAAAAATTTATTTATTTATCTACTTTATAGCATTTTGATAATATGCACAACACAAACCCAGTCTGCGGTACTGACGGACGCACCTACAAAACTGAGTGTCAATTGAAGAAGCGAGCATGTCGTACAGATAATCCAGACTTAAAAGTTGCCTACTGCGGTCGTTGTAAGAGTGAGTAGTACAATATATTATCTATAATCCATTTGTACTTGTACTATAATAAAATCTTACATTTATTAGCCCTCGCTATATATGTTACATATGTTACGTGTAGTACCAAACTATTAGTCTACTAAATATACCACATAATATAGTTTATATTCCTTATTAAATGTATTGAGAGTGTCCAACTAATCTAATTTATATACCAAGTTTTTTTTGTAGAAATGGAAAAACAGGAAGCAAATTTCTTCAATGATCAATATAAGTCAAATACTATGCAAATAAATACATTTCGGCACAAACAACTGTAGGTGCGTTTGTATGTATTTTGATAGAAATATCTATGCGACATAGTAGCTTGGCTTGTGTCTCCAATATCTGTCTGTTAGAAAACTTGTTAAATTAAGAATTGTTGATTGCAACTTTGCTGGGTAGCATTAGTACAAGGATAACATGACGCGTGGTTTATAATATGTTGTTGTCGCGTTTGTCAAAAATGCTGTTGCATTTGGTATTAGTACCATTGCGATTCATACTGATACTGTTGTTGCTGTTGTTGCTTATGTTTCTGTTGTTGCTGTTGTTGCTGTTGTTGCTTTTGCTTATGTTGATGTTGATGTTACCACAGCTGCAACATTTTGGGATGCTTGGAATGTCAACCAACAACTGCAGTCCAACAGCAGACGCTTTGTCGTTGTTGTCAATGATCACTGGCTGATCACTGCAGCAATGCCCAATGCTCAATGCTCAATGCTCAAAGCTTTTCTATTAGCTGTGCTGTCCCATCGTGCCGTACTTGCAACATAACATAATTTTGTTGAAAATATTTATTATTGCAATTTTGTTGTTGTCACAGATGGCGCCAAGGTATTGCGCATCGTTGCAGTGTTCAATGATAAATTTGACAGTTTATTGGTTGCAATATTTCAGTTGATCATAAATATATACAAAATGTGCTATTTAAAAAAATTCAATTATTTTTATGTGTAAATTTTAATGTACATTTAGAATCTTTTTTTTAACGTATAAATAGAATTTATTTTTATGGGCGGGTATTGAATGCGTACACATAAACGCTAATGAATTGACTTAATTAACGGATTTCAACAAGAAATAAAAATTAACAGAATCACTCGACCTATAAATATATCTCTATGTTTTCATAGCAATAAAAAAAATATCTTAGTGACTGTAAATTTTATACATCAAGAAGAAATTATGGCAATGCTCCCATACTTGTTTTAACTGTAATTAATGAATTATAATTTGGTGATAAATAATTTTATATGTTAATTACAATATACGAGTACATTAAAGGAAGCGTATCAATCGTGACTAATAATTCCTTGAATTCTATTCAAATATTTTCAATACCGACAAGGTCGTTATTGTATTTTATTTTAATTTGTTTTATCTAATAATATTATATTTTTTTTTTATAATTTTTTATTTTATTACATTAATTTTTTATATTATTTAACTAAATATAATTTATATATTTAATTAATTTTATATTATTAATTCTTAGTCACGAATCGATCGTGACTAATATTTTCTGGAATACTATTCCGATATTTTCAATACCGACAATATCGTTATTATATTTATTTTATTTTAATATATAATTTTTTATTGTATTATATTTATTTATAGTATTTTTTATTTAATTTCATGTTAATTTATTCTAAATTATTTTATTTTATGCTATGTATTTTACTGTATTTTACTGTATTTTTTTGTTTTTGCTTTATTTTTTTTTATTATTTTCTTTAGTTTTATTTTATTATTTATTTCTTTATTTATTTCTATTTGAGCCAGTGCACTTGAGCACTTTTACTCTTTCTTAACTCTAGGTATTTTTACAACCCCTCTTTACGACTTGACCGGATTATTGTTTATCACTTCATCAGACTAAGCAATAATTGACCTCAGATCTGCATACCTCCCCGTGGAGCCTATAACCATTTTGAGATTTGATAACGCGGTGTTGGTAAGTCTGTCAGTTTTCGCAAATAATTTCAGAGCTCTATCCTTTATGTTTTATTTTATTTTATATTATTTTATTTATATAAAATTAAAATTGCCATTAATACTAATCAAACATTTTCAATACTATCAAACAATGTCTTTATTTTATTTTAATTTATTTTATTATAATTTATTTTACTTTAATTTATTTTATTTTAATTTATTTTATTTTAATTTATTTTATTATAGTTTTAAGTACATTTATTTTTATATTATTTAATTTAATTTATTTTAATTTTATTTTATAATATATTAACTCTAATACCTAGTCATGAATTGATCGTGACTAATAATTTCTTGAATTTTATTCAATACCGACAATGTCCATATTTTATTTTAATTTATTTTATTTCAGTGTATGGTATTTAGTTTATTATTTTAATTTATTTTATATTTTTTATAATTTTTTTTAATAATTTTTTATTTTAGTACATTTATTTTTATATTATTTAATTTAATTTTATTTTATATTATTATAAATTTTTTTATTGTTTTTATATTATTTTATTTCATTTTATTTTATTCTAATTTATTTTATTATATTTTAATATATTTTTTTAATTACTTTTCTTTTATATTATTTTATTTAATTTTCTTTTATATTATATTATTATTAATTATTAGTCACTTATTCTAAAAATGTCTTTAATACTTACTATTCAACTATTTTCCACAATATTTTATTTTAATTTATTATATTTTTTTTTTAATTTTTAATTTTATTATTTTTTTATATTATTTTAGTTAATTTTATTCTAATTTATTTTATTATATATTTATATATTTGTATTTTATTATTATATATATTATTTTATTTTATTATATTTTCTTGTTTTATTATAAATTTTTCAAAATTTTTTATTTTATTAAATTTTTGTTTATATAATTTTAATGTATTATAATTTATTTTATATTATTTAAAAACTGTATTTTTTATATTTTACAAACTAACCAGGAAAACTTTCATAGATTAAGTTAGGAGCTAATTTTTTAATAATATAATGAAAAATCTAGAATACTAACTAATTAGCCGAAAAGTAACAGAAATCCAGTAAAGATCTCATACAGTAATGACCTCATATAAACCTATAATTTTTATTATAACAATATTATGCTATAATGGCAGTTCTGTGAGCCGCATACGTTACCGACCCATTATCGCTGCAATGACTAATGACTGCAATATCTAAAATCACTGATATATGCCAAAACAATAAATTTCTACAAATAAATTATTTGGGAGAAGTTTTACGTATGACTGATACCACACTAGAAAAGAATTGGTAGAGGTGGTAGTACTACTAAAGTGGTAGACCAGTAGGAAATGAATTAATACTGTAAAAAATAATCTAAGAACGATAAATGTATAAAATTATATATTTATAATGACATATGAGAGATACCACTAGAAACCTATATTGACCCATATCAAACTATAATGCTTTAAATAAAAATAATAATATGTTAAGTCAACATTTTTATACAAATTCTGTGTAAAAACTCTCTGAGCCAATAGGAAATTAATATGCTAGGAGTGTCTGTTAAAAGGACATCTTCAACGGGAGACGTTTTGACCTCATTCAAAGGGTTGAATGTTTTCTGTTTGGTTAAGTGTGGTAGCTAGAACAACAGCTCTACTATGATCGCACTGCACTGCTTAGATAAAAGCACCAGTAATTTAAATTGTCAGTAAGTCAATGTAATTGCTTTTCCCATTTAATAGGTAGTTCGTCTTTTATCTTTAAAGTATTTATTATTTAAATACAATTTATAGTTTATAAATAATTAATGATGTGAATACTTTTTTTACGAATTGAATTCATTACATTAATATACTGTATATATCGTTATTCCATAAACACAATTCTAAAATTTGAATAAAAATGTGGTGTTGTAAATTTTACGATTATTTTTAAAATTTAAATTGTCTCGATGCCCACGTCTGTTCATCATATATTTTGTAATTTATTAATTACTTGCATTTTAATAATTGAAATTGTTAATTAATAAACATTTTTAACCATACTTGATTGATAGATATTCTTAATGATATTAACATTCAACAGAAAATAATTTATTACTTAAAATACCATTATATAAAAAAAAAACATTTTTTAATGTCACTCCATCTACGAATACATATATAAGGTAAGTTTTTAAATTTTAAATTTTCACTATATAATACAAGAACACTCTTAATTTAAATATAATTAAAATACAAATAAAGAACAATTAGATATTTAATATATCTCTAATATAAAATTGAATCTGTATTTGTGTTTAAATTATATTGTGCAACTACCTTTAGAAAAAAGTAGAGAAAAAACTAATAAAAATTTTGGACCTTGCTCATGCCTCAGATATAGTCTCTCATATTAGACTTTCTCTAATTATATTAAGCTATGTGTTCTTTTTCTCTTATCGTCTACTCCCAGTGGAGCATAGAGCATCCATTATCCTTTTGTATCGGTTTCTGCTACTTGATTCTTCGCAGATATCATTCCAGAGATAATTGGCTTCTCTTAGCTGTTCCTTAATTGTCCTCCTCGAACTTCTAGCTGGCACTTCAGGTCGACGGCTGCTTTGAGGATTCTACCTCAGAGCTTGGCGTGTGATGTTTTCAGTGGGTCTGCGGAGATTGTGACCATATGTTATGGTCAACTAATTCTATTTGTTTGTCCATTTGACCTAAAAAAAATTAAAAGTCTGACATCAAACAGGCAGTCATTGCAAAATTAATTCAACTTGTCTTGATCATCCTATCATGGTTTATATGGTTTCCGGTGAGTTTGTGTTACCAATATTTCAAGAGACTCAAAATACCATATATGATATTCATACAATTTCTTTATGAAAAAGTAAACATCCCTTCGCAAAGTTCCATTCAATAAATTCTAAAAATTATTGAATAAATTTATCTTATTGAGACAAATGGACATACGAAAATTATTAACTCGATTCATCTTGTATTATTAACATAGGAGGGTCGTTTGCAAATTTTAAAAGAATATGGAAAGAATATTAATTTCATTGTAGGGCTCCTAAATGTAGTTCGTAAGAGCATCGATAGAATAAATGTATGCTTTAGTTGATACAAAATAACTTTTTTTAAACAGTAATTTAAAAATTTATCAAATTTTTATTTTGCCAATTCGACAGCTACGTGCAATGGTATAAAATGCTTAAATGGTTTGACCTGCGTCGAAGATCAGTACACAATTCCACATTGTATTACGTGCAAAATTGATTGCCCACAAGATGACGCTACAGATATTATTGATCCAATTCAAGCCGTTTGTGGAGTTGATGGCAAAACATACAAAAGTACATGTGATATAAATCGTATGATATGTAAAACTGGGAAATCAATTGCAGTAGCATACCCAGGTCCATGTCGCGGTGAGTCAACATTTTTAAATACTATATTTATTATATTAAACATATATATTATGTATTATATATTCCAATATAATATATAAGATCTATATACAATATTAACATTTAAATCAAAAACATAATCATATGTGAAACAATCAAAGGTAGCCTTTCTTGTAATTTAAAAAAATGAAGTTACATCAAACATATAGGAAATATAAGTTTGGCTTTGTTGAAGCTTAAAACCGTATACACAGACTTACTACGAATTCACTAAAACAAAGATTTTAATATGTTTATATCATATTAAAATAAATCCGATCAATAAAATTGTTGGCACTGACTTTTGGTTTAAATGTGATCTCCCAAATTCAAATAAGTAGTACTTGATCCAAAGGTCCAACTTGATCCAATAGCAATCAGTTTTATTCTAAGATTTTTTTAACAAAAAATATGAGTTGTATTTATACTTCAATTTGAAATAAATAATCACTACGAAATTTGCAAAGCAAACTGGGAATACTTCAGAAGTCTAAATGAGAACTCATTGCTAATGATTATAACTTAAAAAACTAAAACCGTCATAAAACGATCGCATTGTTCAACAACTGTATTCAAACCTTTGCTTGCTCACTACTTCCGAACAAATTTCTTCGCACAACAGTAATTATCATATCAACTATACTATACTCGTATCACCTAACATAAATTTTACAAACCCTTCCATATCAGGAATACAGCAGAAGATTGCAAGATATAAGAGCTTCTTTTAGACATACATTAAACAGAATTCCCCACCTTCACATTAACTTACAGAGAAATTAAGGACATTGGCTTCAGGTCATGATCTTCTAATGAGCAAGCTACTGAAAGAACTACCTACATGTGGGTACAAGGGAATCACTTGTGTATGATTTATAAAGAGTACTATTCTATGCAATGAAAAGAAGCATAATTTATTATCTTATCTAAGCCTATTCATCTGATCGGTTTTACTAACGATAACTTAAGACAAAAGAGGATAATTTTCATGTCAAATTTTCTGCCAGCCATTGAAGCTTTAGGTTTGATCATCATGTGTTTTCCACAAGTTTGGGATACAGTAAATGCCTTACAGAACTTGAGAGCTAGAAATCAAATGATGTTCTAAAAATCACTCCATAAGTGATTAACTACTCCTTCAATCGGATTGGTGAAATCTAATCGGACTTTACTAATATAGCTAATCACATAATAATATCCTTAAACTGAAGAGGATGGGTTTAAAACAATGAATTGAGTAATAACCAGTCACTGCATAAATAAATTCTAAGTAACCTTATGGTTGCAGCTTTCAATAACCGACAAATGCAAACACCCTTACATATTTTTGGAGAATGGTACCTTCTTATGTAATATAAGAGAAGAATTTAGGATAATGAATTTATTAACGAATCAGGGTGCTCAAAAATCGATATAAAAACATTAAGACTTTTCTGGATATAGCTAAATTGAAAGTAATTCATCGGTAATCGGCTACGGCAGGATAATACAATAGAACAGGATCTCGAACAGCTAATGTTCAAACATACCAAAATAGAACGCAATATGCTTCTCAAAATATATTACCAGTGATTTTAAACTAACAGATGCCCCAAACTAATCAAGTCAAATATTTTGTTGCTGACCTGGATTAATAGATAATGCTTTCATATATTTTTAAAGCAAAAATATCAAATTAAGACTTTCTTCACTTTTCTATTACTCAATAATGAAGTCCTCAGCCATAAAGTCATACTAAAACTAATATGGTCATATGGAAATCAAATATGGGGCTCAGCTTGGAAATCCAACCTAGAAATCTTAATAACGCTATATTACACTGTGCAGTGAATTCTTAATAACATTACACCGTGATCTAAGAGTATCAAAAATATTCGAGGAAATAAACGATATAAGTCACAGAGCGTTTAAGCGGGTAAATATCCATTTATTTCCGTGTGCATCAAATGCAAATATCTATAGAAATCGACTACGCAGATTAGAGAAATGATTGCCAATTAACATGCTCTGTAGATTTAATATGTAAACCCCATTTTTTATATTTGTGTAATATATATTATATTCATGTGATGAATTGGAAATTCAATCTCATGCTGTTTTTATGAATTCTAGTTTTAATTAATACTGAATGTTTTAACAAACAGTTTGTATCTAGAAAAAAAAGATGATTAAAAAATCGATTCAAACGGCTAGTATATTATTTGATACTATATAGTTGATTAAAACTATGAGTTGTAAAAAACATATGGTTTTATAACAATTCTTTATATTTTTTTATAAAAACAACTTTGGAAATCAATCTTAATGAAATGTTGTAGATACAGTCAAACTTCTATAACTCGAACTTCTATAACTCGAATTTTCTATAACTCGAACTAAAAACAGTGCACCAAGGTTTTAGAGAGCAAATTACATACAATTCTGCTTCCATAACTCGAACTTCTATAACTCGAATTTTTCTATAACTCGAAAAAAACTTTGTTCCGTGCCGATAGAAATATGGGGAAAATACATTCGAATTTTTGTTTTAAGTATAGATGCATTTTGAGGTTAGGGGAAGTCCCTTTCTCCAAACCAAATGTTCAATTTTTTCTTTCTAATGTTGCTTCTTTGTGTAAATGCCAGTGGTTAAAAGTAAATAAATTAATTTCTAATGCTACTCTTAACGATTATATTGAGCTTGACAATGAAATTTTTACATCAAGCATTATAGCTTTGATTTACTGAATCCAATTCTAAGCACAACGGAAAATGATGATGAGATTTCGGTGGATGTAATTGTTCTTCAGCCTTCCAAGAATGAAGTAGAAGACTCAATCAAAACTCTGAATTTTTATTTACAAACGAATGATACTCCAACTGATGATCACTATAAGAGTGTGAATAAAGTGGAATCTCTTTTTATTGAAAATAAAAAAAAATTAAAGTCTCAAACTCCAATCTCTGTATATTTTACTTCACTATATGTTAACTTCTATACTTTATTTGATTACAAATAATTAAATATCTTAAAATGTAATTCTAGTTTCTTTTAAAAATAAAAAAAATCTCAAAAAAATCTCTAACTCGAAGTCTCCAAAAGTCGAACTTTTTCTTTGCAAAATTGGACTTCGAGTTATGGAAGCTTGACTGTATTTGCAATAGCGCACATTACTACTAAACCCATTTTGTTGATATAAAAAATAATTGTTCAAACACTTTCATCTATAAGCTTACACCTATTAAAATTAAATAAATTAATATATAATAATTTTCTATAGTATTATTTATTTGCATATTTAATATGAATTTTTATCTATATATTTATTTAATTAAAATTGTTAAAATGTCTAAGCAATAACGTGCGCATTTGATCCTTCAATAAACTGAATGTGCATTCAATCATCGACATTTTCAATTCAATTAATTTGAAACTTGAGAAAGACATTTCTATTAATTTTACTTTGACCGCATTGTAAACACGATTTATCTTTCTTATATTGCAACTCAGTAAGATAATCGAAGTCATGGAGCCAAACTAAAACAATACAAATATATAGGTAGAAGTGTATAAATTTACATACAAATCACATATATATATAGTCATTTAAATAGATATATATATACATATATGTAAATCAATATGCACAAATACCGCAACACATTACACCGCATTTTACCAAACAGATGCCAATCAGTAATCAACTTTGGTTCTCTGGAAATTTAATCTGGGCGCAATGGAAGCGCAAGGTATCAATGATGGCAGCATAGCTACCGCAACAGTAAAACAGCACAGCAGAGCACCAACAAACAACAGCAACAGTAACATCAATTGCAATAGCAACAACATCAACAACATCAGCAACAACAACATCAGCAACAACAACAATAGCAACAAAAGCTGTACTATTGAATTATATGCAACAACAGAAACAATCATGTGGCAATTGCAACAGTCAATCAAATGCAAAAATGCGGTTGAATATCACGTCGCCACTGTTTCCACACAATAACGATTGATATTTTGCATTCAAATGTATTTCAAACAAAAACAAAAACAAAAATTAACAATAATATTGTTGTTGCTGTTGTTGTATTGTTATATATTAACATTTGAGATTGTTGTTAAAGTTGTTCTGTTAACATTTGAAATGCATTGATTTGAATTTGCAATCAACCAAAATCCAATAAAACAATGTTGTAGCGGCAGCAACACTAATTACAATACCAACAACAAGATGATTGGTGATTGCGGTAGCAACAGTTGCAATAATATTGCCATAAGCGAACTACAATACCATACATACGTAAGAGCAGAGTCTTTCTTTATAAGATGAGCGATGAAGAAAAACCAAAAATATATATTACTTATGAAAAGAAATGAATTTCCAATATGATTGGCTTCGATATTTATTGAGAAAAAGACAGCCTACTCAATACTTTATTAATAATTGCAAGTTGTCATAATCGTGCGAGAAAATTTCTCTAATGAAAATCATTGATTAATATTCGTATTACCATAGATGGTTCAGGAAATAATTTATGTTGACTTGCAGAATTAAAATTACTTAACCTTTGGTTTATAATCCAAATAATTACGGAATATCAAAGAAAAGCTAAATACCTGCTCTTTTTGTTCTTTTGATAATCATATAGAATGCTGTAAACAGTGGAGTTAGTTAGTTGAAGTGAAGGAAGGAATGAATCCTCTTCAATTAGCTAAGAAAGCCATTTTGAATCAACAATTTCTCGTAATAGTAGGTAGAACAAGATCGAACTAGAACCAGCCACAAACATTCATAAAGGCGAAAGTCTGACCAATGCTAATATTGGAGATATCGCTTGGTTTATAAACCAAATAATTACGGAATATCGAAGAAAAGCTGAATACTTGCTCTTTTTGTTCTTTTGATAATTATATAGAATGCTGTAAACAGTGGAGTTAGTTAGTTGAAGTGAAGGGATGAACGAATTCCCTTCAATTAGCTAAGAAAGCCGTTTTG